CTACCACAGTATCAAATAAAAAAATGTTATATAAATTGTATGACATATAATTGTGTATACATTTTCTATTTTGCCCGGCATACTTACAAGTAGTTCTATTTGCACCGAAGATTATGATAATATAGATCAATTGAAGCTACCGAGTGCGCTGATTTTATAGATCCGATTCGGATCTATGCGGGACTTGTGTACATGTGTAAAATCTTAAAACCGCTGGCCTTCAGAAATATCCCATTTGCCCGCTATAGCCGTTTAAAAAATCGTTTATGCGGGTGTAAAAAAACATACATATATAATACATACACATGCGTGCCGGTTGAATAAAAAAGGTAAATGGAAGGAAAAATAACGCTGCCAACTATCGTTTGCTTTGTATAAATTACACACACACACTCGGTTTTCCAGTTAAGAATTTACCCGTTCCTCGTGGTGTGATTCATGACCATAAAAAGTCTTAAAGAGAGCGCGGCCGAGTAGAGGTGTTAAGGTTCGTTTTAAACAGCGAATTATAGACTGGTCGTGTAATTTATATAGGTACATATAATATATGTACTCGTGTACTCTTGTTCGATTAAAGTGCCGACTACCGAACGCGTGAGATGTATGTGCATGACCTTTGTGCTTGGAATAATAATAAATGTACACATGCTGAACGTTTGAAATGTTCTCACCCGACTTGACTTAACGATGGCTATCGGCGATTAAACGTTATTTTTTTTATCAAATAGATACTTAACGGTGTGTGTGGCACTTGACAAGTGGAAACAACAAGTTGTGTATTATAAATGTATGTCCATCAGTTCGCTTAGACATCAAGACACTAGGACATAATATTATAATCCTCTCTCGTTATCCGTTGTATTATACTTATATACTGGCATTGACGCAATTTCAGGAGGTGCTAGACATATAATATTCAAACGCTTACAACTTTAAGTAGAAACAGTCCAGAAAGCTTTTAATTTCACACAAATAAAATGTAAATAACAAAACTCGTAAGCCAGCAAAAATTTAAAAATAACACATACTAAATATAAATGATTAAGCAATTTATAATTAATGATCAATATTCAACATTTAACAGAGCTCACAATAAAATATTAATAATACCCATTTCAATAGAAAGTACAACTAAGACCAAATATTATTATAATTTCTATACTTTCCACTTATAAACACCTTCATAATAACTCTGTGTATTTTATTATATAATTTTCTTTAGAAATATCATTAGCACGAATAGTCACATTAATTGTCGGGTTTCCAGTTATAAGAGTCATAACTTATAATCGCGAATCTGGTTTTGTATTCCTACATTGGTATGCGCAAAGGATTATTTTAATAGGATTACAAAATTAAATTGATTTATTTTTAATAGATTCGCTTTTTTTTTTGTCTATAGAATATTACAGTAAAACTTTCATACGAGTGTTAGCTAACATTGTTTAAATTTTTTTTTTTTATACTTCAATATGGATTTTAAATAATTTATTATCTTGTCGGTAGCAGTCATCCGTTGGAAGAATAAACATTTGAGTGTGCGAAAACCTGTTCAAAAAATATAATGTGTACCGGATAATGTAAGTGTCAAAATGCAGTTTAATAAAAAAACTGAACAAGATAAATATATTATGCATATTTTTGACACCATGCAACCGCGTTAGAGCAAATGACAGCTGTAATTTAATCAATTCGCAATTGTTTATTAAAATTAAGTAAGAACAAACCAGTTTCCTCTGTAAATAGCATCCATCTAGCACTTAAAGTCGCAAAGAACCCATCGACGTATCGTAATCATGTTATCGTGGGCATAATAAATTAACGAACAAAACCTGATAGCAGTAATAACATCCATACTTAAAAAAAAAAAAACAAGCCGATCCATGCAACACCGCAAAAACAAACATTAATGTTAACACTGTTTCTACATCACTGCCAGCACTATAGTTATTTATGACATTTTATTGTAAAAAAATAATTACTAATTTTCAATCAATAAAATCAATAAAAAACAAGTAAGTATATTATATTATGTAGTGCTGTTACACAGCTTCTACCGTTTAGAGATCAAGTGCAGTTAAATCAAGTTATAATGCAAAGTGCATATACGATACAAATAGAGCGTTATCGTAGAATAGAAAACATGTACAGATAATGCATGCATAATGCATATTATGCATATTTATTTACATATATTTCTTACACGGATAAACGCATGACTTCGGTTCAAAATAGAGCTCCAAGGTTCGGGATGACATTTAATTATAATATTAAACCGTCGTTTATCGGTTTACTGTGTGATATTTGCGCTCTAATAAACGGCGAGATGTCTTGGCGCAGGATAATCGAAAGACCCTGATGATAATAATAGTATCCTATCAATATAGTGCATCTACTATGTGCACGTTGTAAGATGCTACGCGCACTCGTTACCCAGTGACCTATACCTAAGTATGATACACATATATATATATATATATATAATTTAATTAGACACCCGACCTTCGTTACTCTTGGAGAAACAATGTAATGTCTTATTGCGGTGGTACTTTAGTATAGGTATATTAATTATACCGCAGTGTATTATTAATACAAATATATATATATATATCCTGCAAAGTACCTAATGACTTCTCGGGGTGACGTGTCTTGAGTAAACTCGTGTGTGTGAAATCAACGATTTTACCGACATTTCACCCAACATTAATGCTCTGTGATATTATATCCTCATTATCCGGTGTATATGTTCACTGTGTTGGTTTTTTTTTTTTTTTTAATTACAGCCTTCACCTATTTGTATCAAGTTGTAAATTGTACGGGCGTTTAGCTTAACCTTTTAATTAAAACGACACGGCACGATTACCGACGAACACCACGTCGTCGTCGTACCTACTTGAAAATAAAAACAGTGCTTTGAAGTCACCGATAAAAAATAAAAAAACATTGACTAGCAGCTGGGAAGGCAAGCACAAGTAAAAAAAAAACGATTTCAAGAGATCCCTACACTTGTCAAAGACACACGTTTAATCTTCAATACACTGGTCCTGATGAAATAATTACTTGGAAACTTGTATGGGACTTTTATTGTCACGAGTGTGGGCTTTTTTGAATTGCGGTGAAGTCCTTAGTGAACTTAGTAGACCTTATTACAGACGGCTTACAGTTGGACGAATGTGTTAAATGCACAAAATATTTTTTTACAGATTATATCGTATTGACTAGACACAACGATCATAAATCAGAAAAGCGGACGACTTGTAAGTAAGTAAGCATTGAAATCCCAATTGCTTGTCTCAACGGGTACAATTGTTTACTTACATTTTTAATGTGAGTTTTGTCGCAAATATTATTATTATAAATATATTATATTATATTATATTTAGGTGTAACTGCAACACATTACCTACAAGTGTTTAATGGACATATTATAATAAGATTCGCATAGCTCAATTAGCATAGTTATATGACTGCAAGTACATTATCTAATAGGTCTTGAAAATAGTAATAACAATAATATAGTACACTTACATAAAAGAAAAAGTTTTAGCAGATGGTGTACTGCAATAATATAATCCAAACAATAGCTACTACTTCCTTATCGGCGATCTGCCGCTATTAAGATCTGACATGAATCAATTTATATATTGAGAAAACAAAGAACAATCGAGTACAACTCGATTTGAACGTAATGCATGCACGTTTTATAGTTTATTAAAATATAATATGTAGGTATTGTTATTTATTTAAGTTTTACCGACACAAAATAAAACCTAATACCCGATTTGTAGATTAACATCAAATTACAACACAATCTAAAGTAAATCATAATTCGCGTTTTTTTTAGGTTATGACGGTTGTTCAAAAATCAGAACTATTTTTTATAGATTTTTATTCAAACAAATGTGTTGTCAACCTAATATAGCCTATATAGCTCCTATTAGAGTTTGAACCAAACATTTTGGGATTTGTACAGCTGTGTATACAGAACATCAAGTGAAAGTTTGATGGTAATGGAGACATATTTTTACTAGGATATGAAGAACTTGATTTTTTTTTCAATTTAGTCTTGTCGAATTACGTAAAAAATATAGTTTTTGCAATAATAAAACATGTCAATATAAAATTAATTTTTCTATATTATTTGTAGACATCAAACATGTATTATATAATAATAATCCAGCAAAAAAAAATATGTATATATTTGCAATATCTTGTAATTTTTTTTAGTCCTAATGATTTGGACACAATCATAAATTTAAGTATAGTATCATTTCGCAGAATAAAACGTTTGGACACCTTTTCGCATTTTTACAATGTTCTTCTATTTTTTATTTTTCACAGTTATTATTTATCTCTATTATTGGATAATAACAATATATGTATAGTATGTTGGTAATAGCGCATAATGTTTTTTACTATTTAAAAAACACATAACAGTAAGACTATCCACTCTGTTTACACACCAGTACATTTTAAATATTTAAAATGTGTGCTTGTAATTGTAGCACAGATTAAATAAAACCAAAAATAGTGCACTCCATACTAGTAAAACAATAGATTCTCAAATAACAATTTTTGATTGGTTTAAACTCAATGCAGTAGGGCCAAATTATAGATTTGAAAAAATTGTACACACTATTTACAAAAAGAATATAAACTGTTATAAGTTTTACTGATAACAAGTAGTCGAAAATTTAAACGCATGCATTGTCAGTTATCTCTTTAGTATTTGTTTTGTTGAGAAATTGTAGTACTTCTTAAACGATCTCGGTGTCCTTGTATTTAATTTCTCTCTGAATAATGGGTGGCAAAAATCGTGTCTTGTTTAAATTTCGTCCTAATAACATTATACTTACACTCTCAGGAGGTATATCTATGTATTTAAAAAAAAACCCTTCCCCAAAAAAGTATACTTTAGAGTCACGTGGATGGATATTTTGTGTAATTAATAATACTGTGACTACACGAGATTGATTACTTGTATAATATTAATATATTACCTGGTATTAGATATACCGACGCCGCTGGGGTTTAATTACTGTTTCTGCTCAAGTCGTTAAAAATTGAAACGGTTCAAGGCAATAATTCAGTAATTTTGGCTATGCGGTGCATACTTTTCTGAAATACAAACATTACTTTAAACTATAACACTGCTAAAAAAAACACAATATCATAATTATTATTGTTAAATGAAAAGAAACAGGTTCAAAGTTTTACAAGTGTGTGTGTGTAAAATCAGATAACAAAATATGAAGCTGTTTAATTAAGACGGTTGATTTGATAAAAGTTGTACGACTAAGGTAAAGCTTAAATCGAAATGATCAATATAGATATCAGATAAGACATATAGCTTTGGGTGATGCAAATTATGTACCACAACTGTCAAAAATCTGTTGCCAATCAATCTTGTTTTTTTTTTCAGGAAAAACTCAAAAAACCGAAACACACGGTCATGTTGCATATATTATAATATATTAGCGATTCCATCGTTTTTCATTTTTTTTTTAACCATTTACATAATTTAACTGACTTGCGACCGGCTCTAGTGCGGCCTGGCCATATACACTATGATGTACTTGGCTACATATTCATTAAAAAAAAAAAATATATATATGCTCGTTTAACTTTTGGGTACTTGGGTTAGATTTTTTTGTTTTCATAAAACATTTCTGGGGTTTCTCGACGGTCGGGATCAACTTTTAATAAAGTCAGTATGGAGATAATAACATTACCGGCTGTCATAATGGCTTCGTCATTCATAATATTATTATTATGCATATATACAACCGCGCGTGATGATACGGTGCTCTTTTTTTTTTTTTAATATTTTTTATTACATCTGACACCCGGCACGCATTAATCATGTTATGTCTTTCGGTCATATATTAATTACCACATCCACCACCGCCTGTTGATCTGCGGTTGATCCAACGCATAATATTATTTATGATAAATACAACCCGAATGCGCTGCACACAGCACGTGCGCTTTGACAAGTCACAATTATTATTGCTATACTTTTGCTTTCTTTGTGTTACCAGACGACAGATCCAATCTAATCCGACCCGTTGACACGCAAAATAAGAGTACCATATAATATATTATAAAAAAACACTACCACGCAAACATTTACACGATCAGAATAAATCCTGTAACTATACATATAAATAATCTATGAAACCTTATAACCTTTGTAATTAACGCCTATACGGTTTTAATATAATATTATTATAACACACATATTATTATATGTATTATGTAGGTATGTCTTGCAGGTGTAGCGACATAAAAAAAGCTTTTGGCACGACGACTGATTGACGTTTGCTCGGTTGAACACATATTCGATTTGTATAAGTCACACACGTTTCCAATCCAATATAATATTATCAACAATATTTGGCTACCGTTTAACTTACGGTTTATATTGAATTCACACATCAATCGATTTCGCTGCAGTACAATATGGATTTCAAATAAAACATAATATTATATAATAGTACATTGAATATTAACATAATAAATTAGTTATTTTTTTTTCTGATAATGTTTCATCCCTTTTCATATCTGTTGTAAAAATTCGCACATGTCATATAGATTCTGTTAAATTCTCTAAACTGAGATGTTATTTTAATACTGTACTTGAGCCCACTGTTAATATTACGCTATAATATTATAATACATGTGTACCTGTATAATAATAAATAAATAAATATGCAAACGCGGCCATCGTACAAATAAACGCGTTGATAAATACCTTAATTATTATTATTATGAAATTTTTAACAAAATAACAGATCCAACAGTTATCCTTGATTTTCGTCACGTTTTTTAAATAGTAATAATAATTATATAGGAACGTCGCCGATAATTACTAGTTGTACTACGATTAAACGCCTCAAATATTAAGTATTGTTACAATAAAAAGCATTTACATTGTTTTTTTTTTTTATTTCACGCTGGATCAAATTATATTAATCTCGAAGCTTATAATGTAATAATTGGTTTTGAGAAAACTGCAACTATAAATTAATTTTGATATTGGGCAATCGTTTTTGAACATAATAAAATTGTATCACTTCTTATTAGCAATAAGGCTTTGAAAGCAAATGTTATAATCCTAGAAATGACGACCTCGGTTGTTTTACAAATCACGTCGCCATTTTCGCGTTACACTTTCAGATAGTGATAAGAGACAAGAGATAAGAGATAAATGATAAGAGATAATCGATAAGAGTTAAATGAGATAACATATCTACGATTCAATGTTTTCCCGTGGAGCGAAGAAAATAACTAGGTTTTCTTTTACATTATATTTGATCTATACAATTAGGTTTATATTCATACTTAAGACAATATTTATTAAGGTTTTTTATTTCTGATTTTCGATTGATTCTCCTCCGTCGACGGTGGTAAGTTTACCGAGGTGTTGACCATGATGACGATAACAGAGTATTGCAATAATTATTACTTTGTGGTTATAATAAATAAGTGTGTAATTTCTCATTCTTTTTGGCGACACGATGCATTGTCGGTGCTGGCTAGACCCGTTTGTGTGTTCCGTCTATCTGCTGCTTTTTTTTTTTTAATGTGTTTTAGTTTGTCCGTTTCGGATATATTGTCCCAAAAAGTTGGCCACGATAAATATTATACTTGTAAGTGCCATTTTTAAAGTCGTTCCAATAAACTCGTTGTGTACAATATTATGTACTGCAATGAATGGAGTGTTAACCGAGCACTATCTATTCATAAAAATGCGTTTATGGTTATCTAAGAACGTGGTAATCGATTTCATGGTCCATTTAACGTTTTTATTTCGCGTATAGGCCTTTTACTTAGTTCGTGTTAACTTTTTTTCGGCTCCGATAAAACTGTTATGGTATTAAGTTTCATATTATTTGTAATGGATTGATTTTGTTATTCAAGAAAAAAAAATATTATTTAGATTAAAAGAAATCGTTTTTTTTTTAATTCAATCCCTTACTACAATATTATATTATTATAAATTTTTTTATTGTTCATTTAAGCCAACGATATTTTAGAGTTATTTTTTTTTGATGGTAAGAACGTTTTAAGGGATTTCGTAAAATATCTCTTGTCTTATTTTTTCGTACAACGGCATATTAATTCCAAAGCATTAAGGTTTTAAGTTTTTTTTAAAAAAAAAGTGTTTTTTTTTCGCTAGTGGATATTAATTTAGCCCTTTAAGCGCTCTTGTAAATGATGTATAATTAGTCGCCAAGACTATTGTTGTCGGTTTTAGGTTGAACGGGTATTTTTTTTTTCCCAGTAAAATAATAACAGTTACTTACAATAACAAAATATTATAAAAACCACGATTTATAATAAGATATTTAAATAATGAGTTAGTGCATTAAAAAAAAAAAAAAAAAAATATGGGTTAAGACTGATATAGTAATATGCTTATATTTCAATCAGGACCCTTTTAAGCCATTATGACCATTTAAATTTTCATTTGTTGTATTGTCAGATTTTTTTTTTGTCTCTTCAATTTAAGGATGTTTCACAAAATATGTATTTTACAATTTTACCTTCACCCTCAATAATAATTGTTGTTGAAGAATACTCATTATCTTCGACCTACTCAATTTAGTGTTACTATCTCAAGGTTTGTTTTTTTATTTTGATCTCGTTTTACTTTACACAGCTTATAAGAAGCTATTTCTACACCATTAACTTTTTTTTAGTTACACTTTGTGCATTTTCTCCTCTTACCAACACTAAAAGCTAGTTTATCATCTTTATTCATATTTAATTGCCAAGGCTCGCTAATTATTTTTTTTATATTTTATTCGCAAACACATTTGTCCATTATTTGTATCGTTAAGCGTTCACTATCAACATCTTTAATTTTTTCTAGACAATTACATTATAGGTTGTCCTAATTTATTATTATGTTTTTTTTATCCCTCTTTTTTATAAATATTCATACTATTCTATATATTTATTTACATTTGATGATGTACAATTTTACATGTAGTATTTCTTTGATTAGTTTAATATACATTTTTTTTTTTAATTTGTCTGTTATACTTTTGGTTAGTTATAACTGGGAAAATAAAATACTATGGTCGTTTTTTTTAAAGAAATTCAATTACATTAATAAAATATTATTATGTGTAATCAGAACTTTTTAAAAAGTCAAATGGAAATTTATTTTGGCTTCAATAATTTTATCAGGCTTGTGGGCTGAGTAAAGTATTTTTATGAATTACTTTATCATTGTGTGTATGTATTTTTTAAATTATACTTTACATTATATTACTTATTAGTGTCGTGTTTCACTTATACTGTTTGGTTTTCGAATTGTTATACTGTTCAGCTTCAAATCGACAACCTATATAGGATTTCACCTTTAACATGCGTAAAGAATAAAAAATTGGAATTTAAATTTCAGTTTTCCGGTTTAAGTGTTGCCAACTTTTTTCTTTAAATTTCTTTTCTTGTTGCCCTATTGTTGTTCAACTTTTTTTATTTATATAAATTAATAAAATTATCAAAATAACCCCAACCTGGTGGTCGCAGTAATTAAAATATTATGAAGTAAGCGAAAAAGCGAGTGTGACTATAATAAAGAAATTACATTTCTCTGATACATATTTTTGTATTTGTGGTCACACTGTCGCTCGCCAAATTATAGTGTCGGAAATATTGTACACTATTTACAATAATAACGTTAACTGATAAGAATTACTGATAACCACAGATATATATATATATAATAAACTAGATTGCCAAGTGTAAATACGCCACCAATAGAAATAATTGAAGTTGCCATTATTCACCATATTTGTGGGAGTTAGAACCTTATCACATGTTTACAACTGTTATCACAGTTTATAATAATTACAAGTTAAGTTGATAGTACAGAATCGCATGTGTATAAATTTAATACACACATAAATCCCACTAAAATGGCTGACGTCGATTTCAATTCTAGTTGGCAATCTAATTTATTATATTTATATCTGTGTTGATAACAAGTAGTTGATTAACGATGGTTGATTTCATTTTTTTGGTCACACTGACCTGAGATTATTGACGCTGGTCCATTTTTTTTTTTTTAGAGTGCACCTATCTGGTTTTATATTTTAATCTGTG